GCTCTATACAGTCAGCAAAAACAAGACCTGGAGCTGACTGTGGCTCTGATCATCAGCTTCTCGTAGTGAGAATAAGCTGGTCATCACAAACACTCTTTTCCAACAACACAAGAGGCGACTCTATACATGGAAATCACCAGATGGGCAATATCGAAATCAGATTGATTATATTCTCTGCAGCCAAAGATGGAGAAGCTCTATACAGTCAGCAAAAACAAGACCTGGAGCTGACTGCGGCTCTGATCATCAGCTTCTCATAGCAAAATTCAAGCTTAGACTGAAGAGATTAGGAAAAACCACTGGGCCACTCAGGTATAATCTAAACCAAATCCCTTATGAATACACAGTGGAAGTAAAGAACAGATTTAAGGAACTAGATTTGGTGGACAGAGTGCCTGAAGAACTTTGGATAGAGGCTCGTAACATTGTCCAGGAGGCAGCAACGAAAACCATCCCAAAGAAAAGGAAATGCAAGAAAGCAAAGTGGCTGTCCAACGAGGCCTTAGAAATAGCAGAGAGGAGAAGGGAAGCAAAATGCAAGGGAGATAGGGAAAGTTACAGAAACTTGAATGCAGACTTCCAAAGAATAGCAAGGAGAGACAAGAGGGCCTTCTTAAATGAACAATGCAAAGAAATAGAGGAAGATAACAGAAAAGGAAAGACCAGAGAGCTCTTCAGGAAAATTGGAGATATTAGAGGAACATTTTGCGCAAAGATGAACATGATAAAAGACAAAAATGGGAAGGACCTAACAGAAGCAGAAGACGTCAAGAAGAGGTGGCAAGAATACACAGAGGAATTATATCAGAAAGATGTGGATATCCCGGACAACCCAGACAATGTAGTTGCTGACCTTGAGCCAGACATCCTGGAGAGCGAAGTCAAGTGGGCCTTAGAAAGCCTGGCTAACAACAAGGCCAGTGGAGGTGATGGCATTCCAATTGAACTATTTAAAATCTTGAAAGATGATGCTGTTAAGGTGCTACATTCAATATGCCAGCAAGTTTGGAAAACTCAACAGTGGCCAGAGGATTGGAAAAGATCAGTCTACATCCCAATCCCAAAGAAAGGCAGTGCCAAAGAATGCTCCAACTACCGTACAATTGCACTCATTTCACACGCTAGCAAGGTTATGCTCAAAATCCTACAAGGTAGGCTTCAGCAGTATGTGGACCGAGAACTCCCAGAAGTACAAGCTGGATTCCGAAGAGGCAGAGGAACTCGAGACCAAATTGCTAACTTGCGCTGGATTATGGAGAAAGCCAGAGAGTTCCAGAAAAATATCTACTTCTGCTTCATTGACTATGCAAAAGCCTTTGACTGTGTGGACCACAGCAAACTATGGCAAGTTCTTAAAGAAATGGGAGTGCCTGACCACCTTATCCATCTCCTGAGAAACCTATATGTGGGACAGGAAGCAACAGTTAGAACTGGTCATGGAACAACTGAGTGGTTCAAAATTGGGAAAGGAGTACGGCAAGGCTGTATATTGTCCCCCAGCTTATTTAACTTATATGCAGAATACATCATGCGGAAGGCTGGACTGGAAGAAACCCAAGCCGGAATTAAGATTGCCGGAAGAAATATCAACAACCTCCGATATGCAGATGATACCACTCTGATGGCAGAAAGTGAGGAGGAATTAAAGAACCTTGTAATGAGAGTGAAAGAGGAGAGTGCAAAAAACGGTCTGAAACTCAACATCAAAAAAACTAAGATCATGGCCACTGGTCCCATCACCTCCTGGGAAACAGAAGGGGAAGACATGGAGGCAGTGACAGATTTTATTTTCCTGGGCTCCATGATCACTGCAGATGGAGACAGCAGCCCCGAAATTAAAAGACACCTGCTTCTTGGGAGGAAAGCGATGACAAATCTTGACAGCATCTTAAAAAGTAGAGACATCACCTTGCCAACAAAAGTCCGAATAGTCAAAGCTATGGTTTTTCCTGTCATGATGTATGGAAGTGAGAGCTGGACCATAAAGAAAGCAGACCGCCGAAGAATTGATGCCTTTGAATTGTGGTGCTGGAGGAGGCTCTTGAGAACCCCCTGGACTGCAAGGAAAACAAACCTATCAATAGGAAAGGAAATCAACCCTGAGTGCTCACTGGAAGGACATATCCTGAAGCTGAGGCTCCAGTACGTTGGCCATCTCATGAGAAGAAAAGACTCCTTGGAAAAAACCTTGATGTTAGTGTGACGGCACTTCGGCAAGAAGACCAGAAAGATGGCTGACTGGTGTCACGAAGAGTCAGACACGAGTAAACGAAATGAAACGAACCTGTTGTTCCAAATGGCATGACAAACGGAAGCGGACACAACTAAACGAAATGAAACGAAACGAATCTGTTGTTCCAAATGGCATGACAAAGATTCACCCAATGGCTTTCTACCCAGCCTAATCTCATTGCTCTTGGCTTTTTGGCATATGAATATAGGTACTGTTGGAAATCCCCAGGGGACTGATGTGGCTCCCATGCACAACCACTGACTGGTGGGATATGCCTATCTGGGAACAGATTTTACTCTTCCTTGCCTTCTTCCTTTGCATTTCCAATGTTGCAAGTTATAGCTCAAGATGCTGCATTCTGGGATTTCTATTCCTAGCATGATTCCTGAAACATATTGAAGAGTTGGAGCTTGGAAAGTAGACTGATATTGTGATCATGGATGCCCTTGGGAAGTGTGCTTATCTGTCTCGGAACCATTAATTCATTTAATATTTTAAATATACAGAAAAGCTGTGCATGGCTTATGCTAACATATTACTCAATATGTTTCAGGAATCATGCTAGGAATATAAATCCCAGACTGCAGCATCTGTGACTCTTGAGCTATAACTTGCAACGTTGGAAATGGAAAGTAGACTGATATTGTGATCATGGATGCCCTTGGGAAGTGTGCTTATCTGTCTCGGAACCATTAATTCATTTAATATTTTAAATATACAGAAAAGCTGTGCATGGCTTATGCTAACATACTACTAGGCAGCTTCCTACCACAATGGAAACATTCCTTTGCTATGATCTTCATGAAATCTGGCTCTCAGCCATATGTGGCCTATGGACTAGGGCAGTGGTCCTTAACCTTTGTTACTCAGATGTTTTTGAACTGCAACTCCCAGAAACCCCAGCCAGCACAGCTGGTGGTGAGGGCTTCTGGGAGTTGCAGTCCAAAACTCCTGAGTAACCCAAGGTTAAGAACCAGTGGACTAGGGAGCAGCAGCTTCCTGTTCCAGATTTACTGCAATGCTTTATATCAATGGTTTCCAACCTTTGATAACCCAAGTGTGTTTCTGACTGTAACTCCCAGAAACCCTGGCTAGTGGAGAAGGGAACTGCAGTTAAAGAATACCTGGGTTACGCAAGGTTGGGAACCACTGCTCCGTATAATCACATTGGTTTCAATTCTATACATAGAAATGTCCAATTAAGGGTTTACATTACAGTATGCTTTAATAAAACTATGGAACCTACCCAACCAAGTTGAGAAACAGATCAACAAAGCCAGACTGATAGATTGGCACTGTCCTCAGGAGTCCTTAATATAGGAACAAGGCCCTGCAATAAATCTTGATGTCCAGTTTGTATCATATATTCAGAGAGTACTTCTATGGAACTCAGCCCTACCATCTTTTTCCTTATCTGCTAATTCTTCCATGGGTTGATTCAGATGCAGAATAAAACATATGTCAAACATTAAACTTGTAATGAGTGATACCCATGGATTCTCTTAGACTCTTCTGTATCTCAATGTTGGTACACATCAACAAACAAAAAAAAAATCCAAGTAAAACTACTAAAATATAATTTATCAGGAAATGTGACTGCATGTCATTCAAATTTAATTGTTGCTATTGTTTTTTGAGAATTGGTGTTAAATTCACAAAGCACAGCTAGAAAGATAGTATTATTAACAGCTATTGTGATTAGGACAGCATGTTCTTATCTTGTGTACATTAGCACAGATATTTCACAGATAGATTACAACCTAGATTTCATGCCTTTTTGAACCTATTGTTTCCAAAACATTCCCACCAGGTAAACCTGCCAACGGAAGATAAAATTTCCTGTTTGTGATTAAGTGAGCTCTAGTCCATAAATATTATGTCACAATAAATTTGTCAGGAGATTCTTTGCTGGCTTTAACACAAGCTCTTGTTTTTCATAGAATTATAGAATAATTGAGTTGGAAGGGGCCTATAAGGTCATCGAATCCATACTCCCTGTTCAGTGCAGGAATCCAAACCAAAGCAGATCTGACAGAGGGCTCGTCCAACTTTCTCTGGAGGGCCTCCAGCGTTGGAGCATTCACCACCTCCAGAGATAATTGGTTCAATTGTCGTACTGCTCTAACAGTTAAGAAGTTATTACTGATCACGCCTCCAACCTTTTGCCAAGAAAACAGTGTTTCTTCAAATAATGTACTTGTATCTCTCTGTGGATTGCACCATCACGCCTGTAAAACCTCTCTCAAGGAACCGTGGGCAGCAGCCCCACGGCCTTTAAAGTCACCCTTGTGTCTCCTCTAGGTCTCTCCTGTGCCAGTGACATTCAGTATACTGTACAGTACAGTACTGTACACCGTTTTGCCATTGTTCCTGAGGGTTCGATCCCTGCCACATCCTATGGGGACGCTGTCCTTCTCGTTCTGGCCCTGGGATCCCAACAAATGCGATGGTACTGAACGGGCAACTTTACTTGTGGGTGCCGTGGGAGGGGGATGTAAGCGGGGGAAGCAGAAAAGCACCCCTTGCTCAAAACGCTCTGGGCGCCTGAGTGTCTTCCCGCCACGCTAGGGCTGTAATGGTCTGGCAAAGCCCCCCGCTGAAGAGACGTCGCTCTGGTGTGCGCGGACTTCCCCGTGGCGGAAACTTCGCGCCGCATGCCAGACTCCGGAGCAGCGACAACTCCAGGGCGAGAAGCGAGGGCGGAGGTTGCCCCAGCGGGACTCCTCCTCTGAGGGCAGGGCCGAGGGAGGGCAGGCGGAGCAAAGAGCCGAGGCAAGTCTCAATTTTCGCCGTTGCCTCGGCTGTATGGCGGGGTTAAGGGGGAGACGTCGGCGGTGCGGAGCAAAGCAGCCGCTGCGCTGTTGAGGAGAAGAGCCCAGACGCAGCGCGAACCGCCCGAGCCACTCTTGGCGCCCGGGAGGACGGCCAGAGCAAGGTCGCCCGGCAGCGCCGCAGAGGGAGGGACGCAAAACACAAGCGCTGCAGCCCAGCCCGACGACCCGAAGAACTTAACTACTCCAGTTTCGTTCGTGTGAGCTGCCAAAGGAGGGGAGAGCGAGCCTGCCTGCCTGGCGTGGGGGGCGCGAGCCGCGGCAGGGGTCGCCACCATGAGGCGGCTCGGGGGCGTCTGCCTGCCGCCGCCGCCGCTCTTGCTGCTGCTCCTGCTTGTGCTGCAGTTGGGAGCCCTTTCCTACGTGCGAGGTAAGCGCTTCCCGGGGACACCCCCTTTCCCGCGCTCCCAACCGCCAGGCGCCGAGATGGGGCCGCTCGGGGCAGAGGGAAATTCCCCCTTTCCCCGGCCGTCCCCTCCCCCAGCTCAGTCGGGAAAAGGTAACGGCGGTTCGAGTCGCGCCTTTTCTCCTGGAGGGCTTGTGGTGGAGCCTGTGGGCATTCCTCAGGGCGGCCCGAAGACGCTCGTCACATGCTCAGAGGCACGCCGCACTCATTCCTGCTTTCTTTCCCGCTTGCCTCAATGGAGGCACGTTATCTGCCTTTTGAGTCTCGAACCGAGGCTCTGAGTAGAGCTACGTTCGCCCCCCCCCTCGCGCCCGCGTACCGAAGACTATAGGCTTGGAACAAAGCGTGGCTTACCTTAGGGTAGCTTTGCTGCGAAGTGGGGGGCACTCACCTGCTTGCTTGGCTCACTTGCTGTGTTAAGATCGCCAGTAGCTGCTTCCCCCCCCCCTCCCCCCCGAGAACCTAATACTTTTCTCTTTCCCTCTCAACCCCCGTCGTTTTCTAGCCCTTTCCATTTCTAAACTTAGAGGTGAGTATTCTCTAGTAGAAGGAGCGTTTTGCGTGGGACTGCTGTGTTAAGATCGCCAGTAGCTGCTCCCCCCCCCCGCACCCCCGAGAACCTAATACTTTTCTCTTTCCCTCTCAACCCCCGACGTTTTCTAGCCCTTTCCATTTCTAAACTTAGAGGTGAGTATTCTCTAGTAGAAGGAGCGTTTTGCGTGGGACGGAGCTGTGTTATTGCAGTGGGACCGGGAAAAACACTTTGCACGTGCTCAGGTACTTAAGGGCGACTCCTGCTGCTCGTATTATAGGATTGAGCCCATCACACACACATAGACACCCCGCAATCCGAGCGCCCAGGCACCACAGTTGGACAAAACAAAACAAAAGGGTGCTGGGGCAAAGCCCTGATGAACTGCGGCTCAAATGCAGCCCTTTCTTCTCGTGCAGGAGGGCGCGTCGGCGGCAGCTAATTAGCCAGAGGTGCTTGAGTGTTTCTGGCGCCAGCGCGCGGGGCATCCCGCCGAGCTAACTACCTGCTTTCTTGCCTGACTTGGCATTGTCTTCGTTCCATCCCTCAAAAACACACCCGCCTCGTTCTGAGGGGAGTTCTTGCCCTCCATCCATTTTCGTTCATAACGATATGCTGGACGTTTTCAACTTTTCCGTCGCCACCTTCAAACATTTACAGTATTTCGGCAGCCAAGCGGGATCCTTACAAAGCCCCAGCGCAAATAGAACTATACTTCTTGGATGTGTTCTCGCCTGGATGGTCTCCCACCCCCAAAAGGCATATTTCCATCCATTCCCCCTCTTGCCCTTTGAAGTTGA